CAGATATCTCTAGCAAACAACTAAATTATAGCATTAAAAATAAAACTTAGAACAAAAATATTATATAATGTTTGGAAAATTTCGGATCTCAGAAATTTTGAACTGCTAACTATATCAAATGTCAGGCAACATAGATGCATGGGTTGTAGCAATGAAAGCATTCTATGCTTCTAATTGGTCAACAGTTACAAGATGTTATATGCTCATGTTCTACTTTCTCTGACTTGTGATGGCCACACTTCATCTCGTAGCATGAAAAATAGTATCTCAGCTAGTTATGAACCATTTTAAGTACTTTTCATGCAGCTTCTACTTCGCCATATTTTATATATCTTCATATGTGGACTACGTACTATGTGCATTGCTTATCAGCATGACTGGGGCTTTAGGGTTCATCATTCATGTCAACAAAGGACGAACACCCTATTTTTGTGATGTAAAAAAATACTGCCACTAAGTTCACGTTCATGTGAACGTTCAGAATCTGCTCTCCGCCGGTTGAATAATTACCTGAAGTGTACACAAACCGAAGAAAGACTGAGTGCTCTAGCTTTAATACATAATCATTATGACACTACTGTATGTCAACATTGAAATTGTATGTAAATTATTTATGGAAAAGCACCCCAGAAAAATGGAACATGCTAATATGTTATTTGAGTAGTGCATACATGTATGTATATGACAACCAATGATCAAAATTGCTAATATACTGCTATTGTACAGAGTTGTTTAAATTAGTAATATAATTTAACAATTAATAACTACTCTGTAAGTAGATAATTCAGTTTTTTGCTATAATAAAACATACATATTTATTCTAATTTAAGTCTAGCTTTCCATTCAGTGTTACAACAGAATGATGATTTGATGCCTTTTCATTTGATGTTTGTGGATTTTATGTGAACAGCCACGCAATTGTTTGTGGTATATTTCATGCAAAATTGCTTCCACATATAATCTCAAAACACCTATTCTGCCCAACTTTTTATGGAGGGCATGCCTCTAGACCCTCATACCATTGGCATGCTGTGCATGCTGATTATGCTTCGCAAAATATCTGTTGGCTTTTGATCTCACAAATTAGAACCTCCCTTTCAAACATTCTGCATATGAGCCTGATTGTGTCCAGAAACTGGACGCTACAAATGAACAAGCATCACCCATCAACTAGAAAGATCTTCTAAATTAACATATTGCTGGTTTTATCGTCTTTATAGAAGGAAGTTGTGATTCTGCTATTTTATTATATAATGTGCAATCATAGTTCCGGTTGTCTTAAGATCTACTTTGGCAGTAAATTTTCTACTATAAAAATAATGTAAAAGGTGCTTAATGAATGGTACAAGTGCAAGCAGTTATTTCATTATTTACACTTTTTTTACTTTTAATAGTAGGTCTCCAATTTCATCATCACTTGTATAAATGTCTAGGATAGATGTACCATCTATCCCGAGGAAAGCTTACCTTGGTGTATCAACCAAAACATATTTTAGTAATTAGAATGATATTGTACAGTTTTCAGCCTATCTAAAATAGGCTTCGATCTTAGTTTATTCTTAAAGGAATGCTACTATTGCAGAAATGTTGTCCACAAAACAAATCGTGAGTCCAAGAAAACTTTTGACTTTCTTCTTGTTTACAAGTTTAGGCAACTTACAACTGTTTTATCTTAGCACGATCTGTAGATATTCTATTTCTACTCACTGTGCAGTAATTTTATAAGATAGAATATTTCTTTGGCTTCAGTTTCAGACCTGCTTTCTATAAATGGTAGAATATCAAACCCACATTTTCAATTTTGGTTGAAATATGCAACCAAATATCAAAATTTCGTTGACATATATAAAACACTGTTCCAATTGTAGTGGCCTCAGATGTGCTAGCAAACGTGTATTTGCATGTCCATTGCTAGTTTCAATTATTTCTTTTCCATGTACCATATCAGTAATAATTTCAACTGATATCTTAACTGTTTTTTTTTATCATAAATACAAACTATAATTGTAATATATCAGTCCAGGGGTGACGCCAGCCTCTTTCGAACGATTCAATCCCAGCAAGTCCCCTTTAGGGCCGCTCCTGTATCAGTCCAAGCAAATGTACCTTGATTTTTCAAAATAAAACAGCATGACTCCTTTATCACTTCAACTACGTGTTAGTTGATGGCGAAACCCATGATTTTATTTAAAGAATACCATTTGTCTGTCAGACAGAATTGTAACGTTGTCATTTACATGCACTCGTTCAATATATTGTCAACACTTTACCACAGAGATGTAGTTCATTTGATTAAAATGCTTCTAAAATACTTCAAATTATAAAATGCTGATGATAAACTTGGTCTAGGAATTTCATTGCGGCTACTTAGCCAAAAATATTTATGAAAGTGACCTACATTTTTTACTGAACCACTGAAAAAATGGCGGCGGGATCTGTTTAACCCCACTATTTCCTTCTGGTTGTAGCATGAGCAATCTACATCACTAATGCCATTTGATATGAATCTCTGGATTTGGTATTAATACAGGCATTAATTCCTTTCTATCGGTTGAAATCGGGTAGTATTTGATTGGAAAACATTCTTTGCCTACTACAGCTCATCCCTATCCACTTCCAATGGGTCCATCCAATATAGAAAACTTCAGAAATATTGTATGCCAATCTACATAAAGGTTTTTAGTGTAATTGTGGTTCGTTAGTCCTTTTAGATGGTTTTCCATCACCGTTCATAGATTTGGTTGATCTGCACGAGAGCAACTGATATTATCAAAGATTTAGGATAAACCACACTGTGTGTCGTTTTTTTTAGGGGAAAAGCCCGAATCTTTGAGATGCCTGTTAAAATGATAAAGAGCACTCAATATTCAACAGACAACTTTTCGAATCAGATCAGTTCGGTTCTTTTCTTCTCTGCCTTAAATTTTAGATGATTTCAGATACATCTCTTGAACATTACCTAACAAAGAGAACAATATAATAATAAACTGATGAGAATTGAAGCACATATCAGCTACTATTTTCGCAATAATTAGATTTTGGTTACAACACTAACATATTTCCTCGATCGCTTAACACCTGAGGTTAAGTTAACACATGGCTTATACCAGATTTAGTATGTTACAAATTAAAAATTAACTAAACATATTGTAACGACAGCGGAACTCACGTGACGCTGCTGGCGCATGCGTGACTGAATTTCTCGAATTATCGGGGAACTCTGCGGATTTTGGAGATGCCTCTTCGTTAGTATATAAGCTTGAGAGAGAAAAGCCAGGGGATGAAAAGCGAACACTAGTTACGGTGAGTTTCGGGTAATTTACGATTCTCTTTCGAGCTAGTGTGTGTTTTGCACTCGTAGAGAGAAAAGTTATCGAGATTGTGAATCGCTGTGATTTATTGTGTGTATTATAAAAGATGTTAAGTTTACAGTGACGAGAAACGCACTGACTGTGGAATTACTGTGTACTAAAAGTTTGTATTGAGAAAGAATAAACTG